TTGACTTAGCTGAGGAGTCACAATCCCATTTCTCTACCCAGATGTTTTTCATATAACTCTACTCCATTCATTCCATATTCCTGCCGAACTGGGCTACTTAGCTGTTTCCTTAATTTGCCATTTGGTAAGGGAGATTTAACATTCCTCTTTTCTTTTCCTTTGCACAGCCTGCCCGTATTCCTAGAATTCACTTTCTTCTTTACTGCTTAGAATCACAGCTTCCTTCAATGCTCAACAAAATTGCCACATCCTAGAAGATACCTTTCCTTGTCTTGGCATGACCTAGTATTCTGCCAGCTACATATTGTATACTTCTCACCCTTACCCAGTAGAATTTATGCTCTTGAGGGCATATGCTCTTGAGGGACTATTTCCTTGTCAATCTTTTTCTCAATGACTAGGGAATTATTAGGGAATTATATTGCATTTCATAAACATCTGTTTGATTTCATACTCCTCTGTTCAAGAACCTGTAGTAGCTGACTTTTTTCTATTGATTTTATCATCCTGGTACTACATTATTATTTATGAACCTCAACCTTTTGCTTATCATCATCATCCAAACCTATTCCTCTCTGTTCTCTAGTGTAAACAATAGCTATAGCACAGAAACAGAGAATGTCATAGATGGAAGGGACCTTAATGAACACCTAGTATAATTAATTCATTTTTGCAAATAAGGAAACTGAGGTCCCAAAAGGGAAATTAATCAATTAACAAGCATTCATTAAAGACAGCAAGATGGAACGTTGGATGGAGTGCTACACCTGGAGTCTAGAAGTCCTGAATTCAAATACAGCTGTGTGACTGTGACCCTGGTCAAGTCACTTAATCCTTACTTGCCTCAGTTTCCTCAACTGTGAAATGGTGTTAATAAGAGCACTTACCTCCCGAATTACTGTAAAGATCAAATGAAATAAAATTTGTAAAACACTTGGCACAGTGCCTGGCACATAGTAGGTGCTATATAAATGCCAGTTAATATTATTTTTGTTATTAGCCTACTATGTGCCAGACACTGTGCTAAGTCCTAGGAGAACCAAGAAAAACATGAAATAGTTCCTGCCCTCAATGACCTTATGGGAATATAAATTACATGAGGAATGAATTGCCCAAGGTTATTCAGCAAATCAGTGACAGAACTAGTATTCAAACTCAGGTCTTCAGGACTCTGGTTTTTCCACTCACTGTTCTCCAGAGGTTATGTTTTTGCTTTAGCTCATGTTATTTTCTTCTTAACCTATTCCATCTCTTAACTGTGGTTATTTCTCTCCTCTCATACATTCCTTGCATAAATCCTGCCAATTCAATAGAGACTATTCCAAGTCCATCATGGAAAAACTTCTGCAAGCCATATTGGTACAGGTTGTTCTCTTAGTCCTTTGAACCCCTATAGAACTTTATATCTCACTTAATTCATTCTCTTTGTACTAGATTTAGTTGTTAATATGTTTTATCTTCTGAATTAGATTATAGTATTCCTTGTCTCAGTATGTTATATATGGTCATCAACACTAAGTGATCATACTATCCCAAAGGGAAGCAGGCATCTTTGAGAAGTGTTAGGTTGCCTATCAATTGAGCCCTGTAACCAAGCATCAGTAAATCACCTGTACACTTTTCTGCTAAGGTAAATCTTTTTCAGGTTTGAGCTACACTAGATACCCTCTGAGATCTCTCCAATTCTGACATTCAGTGTTTCTGTGAAGTCTTATTTATCTTTGTGACCCTTTCAGCATCATGTTAAGTTCCTTTCTAATAGTAGGAAACTGATATTACATATTTGTTGAATGACTGATCCCCTTATCTGAGTTTCTTTAAAGCTCATGATTTGTTCTGCCCAATTTAGTGCTTAATGATAATGTAATTTCATATCCATTAGTTTTTTCATGTGTCGTTTGGAACTTGGAGTGCCTCTTCCCATGGTAGGACACAGGTAAAGGTTAATACCTATTGTGCTATTCTTCTTCCCAGGCAGCCCTATATCTCATTTCATTTTACTTGTTTTCTTGATGAATTTGTAAGCTCATCAAAAAAGCAAGGGATGATCAGATAATATGTATATAATATCTGTTGATTAGTTAATAATGGTAGCATTTTGGAAGAATCATATATATATAATGTATAGTATACATAATATTATATATGTATATAATATAAAATATACATAATATTAGATATATGTATATAATATAATACACACACACACACACACACACACACACACAGATTTTGGTAAGGCAATTGGGGTTAAATAATTTGCCCAGAGTCACACAGCTAGTGAGTGTTATGTGTCTGAGGACAGATTTGAACTCAGGTCTTCCTGACTTCAGGGCCAGTGCTCTATCCACTGTGCCACCTAGCTGCCACTAAAAATATTTTTACAAAACAAATAAACAAACATACTTCTTCCTAGAGCAGTTAGGTAGCACAGTGGATAGAACACTGGCCCTGGACTCAGGAGGACCTGAGTTTAAATCCTGACCTCATATACTTACTAGCTATGTGACCTGGGGCAAGACGCTTAATCCTGATTGCCTAAAAACAAAACAAACAATCACCGCAGAAAGAAAAAACAAAAACAAACAAAAAAACCCCTCCATCATAACCCCAGCCTGCTCTTCTTGTGGTTCTCAGGGCAAGAGGAGGTTGCTGTGTAGCTCCAGTCTCCTTGCTCTGATTTAATTTTTTTTTAATGTATCAAGTTTTAATACATTATGGATATGGGTGTCACAAAGATCCTAAGGGAAATGGAGAAGGAATGTAAGTGTCCTGAGGACAAGAACTATCCAAGCTCTGCCTTTATATCCCCAGTACTTAACATATAGTAAGCATTTCTTATAAATTCTTATTGACGGACTGAATAAATACTAATCAGGGATGAGGACCAGAGCATCAGAATATACAACTTTAGTGTATGTGAAATAAATAAGGAGTGCAAGTCTTTTTAATCTGAAGCTATTGGTATGTTGAGAGCCACATATCTATGGATATACAGTTTACGCCATGTCTCAGGGGACCTGTTAGTATTTCTTCAATTTATTTAGAAGGCTGAATGCAAAAAGGCTTATTTTCTGTTTGATATTTTGATCCATAAACCTGGAATACATATTCTTTCAGATAGAGATCTTGTTTAGTACCATTTAGAATCTATGAGATAGAATATATAATATTGCTAAAATGTTCCCTTGTCCTTATTGTTATCCCACACCTGGTTCACTTGTTAGTAGGCAACACCCAGTCCAGTCAGTGTGGAATAGAAGTATTACGTCTATTGCAACAATACTTATTAATAAGAATACAGTATATGCATTTTACATTTTAAAATTTTATGTTCAATTTTCTCTTATAGAAAGTGTTTGACAAATTAATTAGTGATTATTCTGTAAAGGACTATAATAAAGAAGACATAATTAATAGTTAAGAAAACCTTTTCCTTTACTGACAACATTGTACAATCACATCTTTTTTTTCCGTATCTAAACCACCCATTTAATATTATAAACCATCTGATGCTTTTTTTTCCTTACTAGTACATATTTTTCTTCCTTAAAAAATTCTAGACTTAAATTGTATCAATTGACATTTTAAATGTATTTTACTTGTAAAGGAGGTACCACAGGATTATTTAAATATTGGGTTATCCTGTTGCATTAAAAACTAGTTTATTTATCCCACCTGCCATCCCCACACTCACACCACACACACACACACACACACACAGAGTTAATTTTGTTATTTTTCACTCATTTCAGTTGTGTTTGACTCTTTATGACCCCATTTGTGGGTTTTCTTGGCAAAGATAATGGACTGGTTTGCTATTTTCTTCTCCAGCTCATTTTACAGATGAAGAAACTGAGGCAAACAGAGTTAACTGACTTATCCAGGGTAACACAGATAGTAAGTGTCTGAGGCCAGAATTGAACTCAAGGAGTTGAGTCTTCCGGACTCCAGGCCCAGCGTTCTATCCATTGTACCACCTAGCTGCCTCACAAAGTTCAATTTGGTGGCAAGAATATGGAAGTGGAAGTCAGGTGTCTTCAGTTTCAGGACCAAACCCATCTTTAAGTACAGGATCTTCAACATATCATTTAACCTCCATGGGCCTCAATTTCTTTATTTGTTACATGAAGATACTTTACTAGATTGTCTCTAAAGTCCCCTTTAATTCTAACTTTCTATGATTTGTGGGCAACATCTGTTGTGCAAATCAAAGCACAATTATCCAAAATCTATACTGAAATATTTTTCACTTGTGCTCAACTTTTTGTTAAATATCAAACAGAATGGCATTTTTCCTAGTTGTCAGTAAATGAATTTAAGAAAGAGTAAGAGATTAGGAAAGAAGTTTTAGTTTTACCTTTAATGGGTTTCCCCCAAAAAAGTTTCTGTTCTTTCATTTCAATGAATAACTGTCCCCAGGAGACACATATTCTCACTACATCTCTCTACTGCAACTCTCTCCGAATTATACTCAACTCTAAATTGTTTGCATCATCAATTTATGACCTGTGATTGGATCCCAAGGGAAGCAAATTAATATTTGTAGTCTCTGGATGCATAATTCATGCACAAATCATTCCAGGCATGCATTTGCTGGTCAGGAAAAAAAAAGAAAAATAAAACTGCAAGTGCATTTGAATTGAAAAAGAGAAGAAGCTTTTGAAAATTTATTATTGATAAGAATTAGAAAATTCTATGACTTTTGAGAAGATATTTAGAAATTATTGTTTGAACTTTTCGTGACAGTCCTTGTGTATTTAAAAGGCAGGAGAGCAGTACTCTAGCTACTGTACTATTTTGGCTTGTTTGCTAATCAGGAAGCTGTTGCTCATCTTTTGAATTTGTTATACAGTACATGCCATCCTGGAAGCACAGCCTTATATGTAGAGTTCATGGGCAGTCCTATTATGGGAAACCAACTTGTTTTGAGGGAAGCCCAGCTGCCTGCTTCTGCGCAGGTCCTGGAATTTGAAACATCTAGGGACCTCTACAGAATCCTGGCATCAGTTACTACATCGACTGACTCTTTCTTTGGGAGTTAGGCTCACTCATTCTCCCCTTACTAGATTCAGACCTTAGAAGCAGTTAACTTCATAGATAAACTTCAAAGAAAACAGAGAGGGCTTTATTTATTTTTAATTTTTTTTGGAAGGCTACTTTGGCTTCTCATTATTATTGACTGGCCTAAGTCTGAAAAATCTGCTGGAGTGATAAAGCTGGGGACATTTTGATTAAGATATTCACTGTTGCCCTGATATTTTATTTTTGACCAAATGATTTGGTATGAAGAAGTAGAAGATTGTTGTAAGTATAAATAGCCTAAAATAGTTCTGTTTTATAATTTTTGTGGTTTGATATGACTTTAAATATGACTAATATTATGAGAAGAATATAAGCTTGTGAAAGAAATTAAAAGGAGGTAATTAGTCATTATAAATGCTCATGTATTGTATACAATAATGATTCATGCATATGCAAATATAGTTACATATAGGTAAGTATGTTGAATTATACTACACAGAAATTCCCAATATTTAGAAATGGCATTAAATAACTTTGTAGTAAAAGTAAAAGTAGTTAGGTATTAATATTTACATCAGATTTTTTTGCCCCCATAAATTAAATTCTATAGTTATTTCGTTTTGCTTTCACTTATCTTTATTGATATATACTTACATATATGTGTATATGTGTGAGTATTTGTTCGTGTGTGAAAGTTGTCTTTAATATTCCCAGTTAATGCTAAGAACTAATAATCTTTGAAAAGAGAGAGGGAAAGGTGTGGGGTACAAGTATAGATGTTCTAATTGATATGATGAGTTGAGATAGATTAGGACATAATGGAAAGATTTATCCAGCCTTCTTTCTCCTGTTTTACAGGATATCTTACTATTCATCAATTCAAGAGGTTGTCTTCTACTTTCAGTTCTAGATAGTACTCAAATATGAATTGTCTTACAGTATGAAAGAATACCTTTTGAATTGAGGGAACATCTTAAAACCTTTGGGGGCTTTAACTATGTCTACTAGTAAAGTTAGCTTAAAATACTGTTCATGTTTTATATCTGTGATGACTAAGCTCTTTTCACTCAGATACTTTTGGTTTGCCACTATTCCAAGACCAACTCTTCAGCATCTTTATTTTGAAGCAAATCATGGCTCCCAGGGCATTTAAAATTTTTATTGCAATATACAAGTAAAAATGATATATTGTGAGGACAATCTATTGCAAAGAGATGTGTTGACTCCATTACCTAAGAGATCGTGTGTGGCTATTTTTCTTGTATCTTAACTCTTATAGATCTAAGATTATTGCCATTCTAAAATAAATGCAAGGACTGTGTCTGTATTTAGGAGAGGGGGAAATAAACCCAGTAATTTCAGTAATTGTTCACCAATTTTGAGGAAAGAAGAAAAATTTTGCTGAGAAAACTTTGTGGAAAGGAATTAGCTATTTTATATAGGTAGCTCCTCATTTTGGAATGTATATACTTCATTATTTCCTTTATTATTCTAAGTAGTGTTGGAAATCACCGGGGTTATGTTTCCACTAATTTTTTTTCTCTGAATTCAATTAATTTTAAATAATATATGTACATTTATTTGAATATAGTACATACGTCATGGTGCTTAATCTTTGGTAACATATATCAATTAATTCTCTATAATAGATGATCTTAAATTAAAAGAGTATTTAGAGGAAACACGAAAATAAATTAATTTGTAAATGTTTGCCAAAACTAAGGCATAGCTTATAGGCATGCATAATCATTTATGGCATCTTATTATCTCTGATGAGATGATATAATTATGAAATATGAATATATAATTATTAGAATATGAAAAAAACTGAAAAAGTTCCTAACATTTAGACTATCCAAAAATGGAATGAGTTCTAGTGAGAGGAAAGAAGTTCTCCCACACCAGAATCCATCAGGCATATTCTGAATGAACACTTTTTAGGTATGTTTTATGGAAAGTCTTGATAGGTACAGATTTGGCTGGATGGCCTCTGAGGTTCCTACTAAATCTAATACTGTGATTAAGTATTTTAGAGCAGGAAAGGATTTTGAAGGTTATATAATCCAACTGTATCATATTATGGATGAGGAAACTGGACCTGGAGAAATAACACAAGTTTCTTAAAGACACACTTTGTTTAGAAGAGGTAGGATTTGAACTCAGGTCTTTTTACTCCAAATGCAAGGCTCCTTATATTTTATTGCATGTGTGGCTGTTCTCCTGGTAAGGTTAGTACTGATGCTCTGTTTAAATATTAAAGACTGCATTTATTAGGAAAAGCAAGAAAGGTACCTTAACACTTTATCCAATAGTTTAGTGCCTTAGTGGATGCACTATTTAGGGTTGATAACATTGGAGAGTCATAGAATTAATCAAACAATAAAGATATTTATGACAGATGATTTTCTATAAGAAAATATGACTGCCTCGAATCTCAACATTAATCATCTTCTGAAAATAGGATGAGAGGCATAGTTTTTGAACATTATATTTCAGGAGTTATAGATGGGTCTATATGCCGTCAGTGAAATTCATATCCAATTGAATCTACTTTTATAGCATGCCTTCGTATTTTATTTTACCAAATTCATAATCTGACCAGCATTGAATGCAAGGTGATCTTTACTCTCATTATCTACCATAGATTCTACTTATCTACACATACAAAACAATTTTAAACATGTATATAGGAGTTCAAGTTTATAAAGCACTTTGCATGTATGATTTTGTAAATCTCTATATATGCATATATATAATTCATATAAATATAAATAGACACCCATATATACATAGAGAGACAGAAAAATGGAAAGGGAGAGAAACATAATAGATTTGGGAGAATTTTATGGACTTAAAAACAACATATTTATGGTATATAAATCTGTTGTTGTTCTGTCACATCCAAATTTGTGACCACAATTGGGATTTTCTTGGCAAAGATATTGGAGTGGCTTGCCATTTCCTTCTCAAGCTCATTTTACAGATGAGGAAACTGAGGCAAAACAGGTTAAGTGACTTGCCGGAGATCACACAGCTAACAAGTATCTGAGGTCACATTTGATCTCAGCACTGTATTCACTGTTCCACGTAGCTGACCTAAAGTATACCTACTCATTAAAATGTGTGCTTGTGGGGAGAGAGGTAAGTAGACTGTAATGCTGAATCATTACTTATTATCTAAGTAGCACTAAAGTACACATTCATTAAATGGAGACAAATATGAAGTAGAACATCTTTCTGGCTTGAAGTACTCATTTGAAATCCTTTAAAATCTGTGTTCTAAGTCACTGGCCATATGTTTGACAAACTGTGAAGTTTTTATCCACAGTTGAGGTTTAATAAGAGAGATAATGAAATCTTTGTTCTCTGGGAAAGTCATGTGTTTTGGTTTGTTTTATTTTTTATCTCTCCTCTTAGTCTTATCACTGGACTAACACAAAGTAATTTTCTAGTCCCTCCTTCCCTCTGTACCTTCTTTAATATTTCTTTGGCTTATTAAGATGATTTATCATAACTTTTATTAAGCTACAGTTTATCTCATTATCTCATGCATGATATCTCGATAGGTGAATACAAACAATGAAAGGTGTAGACAAGGGTCTCTAGATTTATGATTTCTTTGGTATTTCTTTAAGGAGTTCCCAATGTGGAAACTTCCTCTGGCCACGCAGTCCAGAAAGTCCTTTGAAATTTACAGTCTTTCAGAGTTGCCCAGAATATTGATAATTTTATCATGTACTCCAAGTGACAGAGCTAGTATGTGACAGGGGCTGGATTTGAGCACAGATTTCCCTGATTCCAAGCGTAACCCTCCCAGGGTGGGGAATCTGCAGCCCTGAGGTCATATGTGGCTTTTTGATTGAGTCCAAGTTTTACAGAACAAATCCTTTTATTAAGGGGATTCATTCTGTGAAGTTTGAATTCAGTTAGAGGGCTGCATTTGAGGTCCTAGAGGGCCACATGTAGCCTCAAGGCTGGAGATTCCCCACCCCTGTTAGTCTAAACACTACAGTATTGAGAAATAGTAATAACGAACATTGATATTGTGTTTTAATATTTAAAAAGTCTGGTACATAGATTATTTTCATTTGATCAGCATTGTAAGGTAACTGTTAATATTAAATCCATTTAACAGCAAGGAAAGCTGACGTTAATGGAGGGTTGAGTGATTTGCCCAGGGCCAAATGGCTTGAAAATATCTGAGGCTCCATATGAAGCCAGGTCTTCCTAAGTTCAATATTCTGTCCACTATGCCATGAAGATATATATATATATATATATATATATATATATATATATATATATATATATATATATATATATACTTTATCTAAATATGCTTTATTTAAAGTCTACTGTGATGATAGACATAGATTTGGATATAGCTGTAGATTTGGATATATCTATAGATATTTTAAGACTGAAGTTCTGAATCAGGATTTCTTTCGTGTATGACTTGGTTTAGATGTTCTCGGAGCTTTCTTCCAGAACTCTCAAATTTTGTGATTTTCTAATTTTCCCTTTATTAGTGATCTTTCACACTGTCTTATCCTTAAAATAGGGTGTTTCCCTGCAGTTCATAGTTAGTCAAGTGTTTCTTGTTTTAATACAGAAAGAGAAAATTAACCAATGACTATGACTGACCTTGAAGGCAAAGCAAGTAGTAGAAGTGCCACTTTGTCTCCTTTGTTCAGTTATAAAGCAAATTCTAAAATAAAGTTGGTCCTGATTTGTTAAAATAATAATAATGTTGCCCTTCTATGAGACCCTTCAGCTTCATGCTGTTTAGAAAAGTTGAATGAATTTAAGATGATTAGAGTTTATCATTTCTGCTTTTCATTCTGAAAACATACATTGATTGAAGTGATGAAGAGTTCAGTTAATGGAGGTGGTTCAGTTATTTCAGATATACCGAGTATGCAATTTGAAGGCAAGCCAGAACACAATGAGAAGGAATAATGATGCCCTTGGTTTATTTTTTATCCAGCACATTCAGGTTTTGATTGGATTGCTCCAAGTCCTTGGAGGCTTGCATTCTCTTATCAAAGCAGCTAGTTCATACTGGAGCATTTTGTTGTGAAGGTCGTAGGCTGCAGTGTGGGAGAGAAGAAACATTTCTTTATAGGACTCAACCAAGAACTAGCCTGACATTTCATGAGAATGATTCCATTAGGGAACTTTTGGAGGGATTTAATACAAATTCATCTTGTGGGGTTGGGAGGCTGAAATGAAAAGATTGTAGGAGGAGTAATCAAAGGACCTGAAGTTAAATACCCAACCTG